ATTCACTTTTTCCGTGTGCATGTAGCGGAAGTTTATTGCCTCAATAAACTCTCAGTGCGAACGTTCCAAGAGTACAATGCATTGCATCGATATCTGAAAATATTAATAAATTAATTCACGATAAATTTAAATTTGTTAAGGAGTTTAAGAAACGTTAATACCTGTCAAGAAACAATTCTTTGACCATACCATTCACATTCGGCAGTTTTATTCTGTTTGTTCTTGCATTGATGCTGCTTATCTGCCATAATAAGTACGATTTTTCATGACCTTATTTAGGAAACGAATTTCTTTTTTATTTTACGACTGTCATTTTGCTGCATTACATTCAATCATATAGGCGTGGTCAAATTTTTATGATCTAACTAGAAGATGATGTACTTCAGCAAATTAGGATGCACAAGCAGAAAATTGTAATTATTAGAGTTAATCCAACTGAACCTTTAGATCAAAGTTTTGTATGCCGGCGTGGCTGACCTTTCGTACCAGTGAGCCGCTCGGTACAATAGTTAAGCATTCGTACGCGCTTATGTTGAGGCTGCGTCGTGTATTTCATGTTTCTTATTACATCACAGATATGGCTTAAATGTACCGTTAATGAATTAAGTGATATGCGATGAAGTCATAGGATGGTCATGAATATTAGCCAAAAGAAATTAATTTGTCGTAAACTAATTCTAACTTAATTCTTTTACTAAACCCTCGTAATAGGGCATTCGTCAAGCCATGGTTCCACTGTTAATTGAGCGTTTGTTACCGTGGAAAAAGGATGATTGTTTGCATCTTAGGAATATTGTTTCTTCTGCGAACTCAACAAATTTGATCAGATTTTGCTGTCATTCTCATTGACCTAAGGTATCCACCCTTTTCTTGTGGGTTTGAGCGTTGCTTCTCGAAAAATTTCAGTTCTCTCAGAAACGACGTTCTTTCCAACAGCTGTCAGTCCAGGCGATGAGTGAAATCTGAGGGAACATTGATAAATGTCCCACCGTTAACTCATAATGATAATGCGACAACACAGAGTTATACGTGGTGAAACGGAATTGATGAATTGATCGTTGGCGCATGACCATTTCTTTTTATATACAAACGAAACAGCTTTTTTGCATTGATGATTTAACTTCTGATCCCTTCATTCTTGTCCCGAAATTGATATATTCTTGGAAAGCAAATATATACATACATCACTGATTGATAGCATATGCGTAACAAGCGTTATGTTGAGTATGTGCACTTGAGAAGTAAGGTGTGTCAGGCTTTTAGGATAATTAAATGTACTATTTTTTCTCTATCGTTTAAAAATAAAAAGCGCTTCAAAGCGTATTTGCCTATGTCAGTCACATCGCGAGGAGGGTGGTTAGTACTATTTTTGTATGTTTGTACGTTATCGTTGGTACCATTGTGTAACATTAAATACTGTTGTGACAACAGATTAGCACTGATTAAATATAATGTCTATAAATCTATATAGTATGCCCTATTTACTCAGAACGTCATTGGCTGCTTCGAAACAATTTTAAGCAGAGCGATGTATATTTGTTTGCACTAAACATGTAGAAAGCTACAAGTACAGTCACCGAAGGCATTTCTTTTCTCATAAATTTTAATCCGGTCCAGTAACAGATGCTTTACGGCTTCCGTTATCCGCCGAGTGGGTGATTGGCCTGAAACAGTTTCATCAGAGCTTCGTTATCCGTCCTTAACCGGGTTCACAATTCGGGAAAATGGACTCCAGCGTTCTTCGCTCTGTTTAGCACTGCATCCCGTTACGTTACACGTTATGCGGTTCTCACGACTCGGAATGAAGGTTGGACTTTACGGACCCATTGTATTAAATATACGATAATGAATGGAATTTATCGATGATACTGTATGAGGATGAAACTAGAAAAAATGTCTGTTCAAAACGTAAAAAACTTTATATATTTATTCCCTGGTAATGCTCTTGGTTGTCTGTGACAAAGCGCGTCAGTAGAAACAAAATCATTGTTATTTGTTATTCATTATTATTTGACATATTTTAATTGGGCTCGAACTGTAAATTGACTTGGCTTATATTCATTCTATTTGTATCTTGTGTTTGGGAAGAGTTTCTGGCTTTAAGCACTGACTATATATGTGTATCATATCTAAGACAGTTATGTGTTATGTCTAATGTTTGGATAGTGAATGATGAAATCGATCAAAAACGCTTAGCGTAAATGGAAAGAAGTTAGCGTAGTACTATTGCGACAAGAAAATGTTCAAACTGAAGAAGGTGTACAGAACGATTGTAAGACCGGTACTTTTCCTTGAAGCGAAATGTTTGGCTGCCCTGAAGAGATAAGAAAAAGAGCCGAACTCGGTAGAAATGCGAATGCTCATATGATTGAGTAGTGCCAGCGAGGATCACTTCAAATTACCTTCAGAAATGTAGTTGTTTTCAGAAATTTCTGAAGGCTGATTAAAAACACGGCGTGTAAAAAGAAAATCCGACAAGTAAGTTGTAAATGTGGTTCAAATACTGAGACTCTCAGAGAAGAAAATAAGGGAACACCAGACATACTGTAGAGTAATGTATAAAAGGCGACATGATCGTCCTGCGAGGGAGTGAACGAAGATTTGAATAAATACAGAAAATTGATTCGAACAGCTGAAACCAGTTAAAGGAAACACGCTAGAAGAAAAACGAAGAAGAATCTGAAGTAGTATCCACTGATTCACACGGGGAATTCGCGCCGTCCCTTTTCTTCTAATGGCCCACGGGACCCATTAAGCAGACCGCGGCTCAATGGTGTTGCAGCATCTGCAATGCATCGACGCAAAACCGCGCAAGTTTGTTGGGTCGAATAATAGCCTGTTCCAGTGGAACGGATATTTCTCGAACTGTAGTCATATGAGTCACTTCCGATGACCGCTGATTTTCTGTTGGGTTGTGGGGACAGATGCGTCAGGCAGTGCTTCCAACGTTCCCGATCCTGTGCCAGAGTCTGAGCTTCGGAAGAAGACAACTAGAATCAGGAGCAAACTCATTCCACATATTTGCACAGGTTAATCTTGGCCGTCCCCTGGGCCTTCCGCAATTCGGTTTCGCATGAAACATTTGCTTAA